AAAAAAAAAAAAAAAAAAAAAAAGTAGTATGGAGCCCAAAATCCTTTAATGATAAATACAGACTCCATCATAAAGAGTAAGTAGTAGTAAAAAACATTAACTATGGCTTTACATATATAATGTCTCTTAAATTAGGAGTCACAGGAGATTTGCACAATGTTGTCAAAATCGAGATCCTACTTGATATAGAGACAGCTGAAAGATCATAAAATGTTGGATTATTACACATCATAAGATACTTACTACCTAAAATATAAAAATATATTTAAACACAATATGATAAATGATAGTATAATTAGCTAATACATATAATAATATAATATCACTAAAAATCAATTAAAATCAGTTAAATAATTATGAAAAAAAATAACAGAATGCAAATGTAGCATAAAAATCAAAGAATACAATAAAAGACAGCAGAGAAAATATCTCGAATAAAGGCCAGAAGAACCCAAGTCATGAGTTTTAGGGAAAATTTAAAAATAAAAAAATAAAAATAAAATAAAAGATAGAGAGGTTGTGGCTGAAAAAGAATGGAGTCAGAGGACAGAACGTAGAGCACAAAAGCAGGCAAGAAACTCCTTTGATAGAGAACAAAACATAAATGTGCAAGTAAGAGAAAGGGTTCTGGGTAAACTGCAGGGCCAGCTTTGGGTCCCCTTCAAAAAAAAAAATATTTTGCATTAATATTTATATAATTATTTCAAGGCCTATAACTGAAAAACCACTTTTTGTGTTCTCAAGAACTCACTCTAAAGTCTAAAATGGTGCAAAAAAAAAAAACTCACTCTAAAAGGTTCATCTCTAAAAAGTATACAATATAATTAATTTTTTCAAGACCCATATTTAAAACTTTTTTTTTTTATTAAATAAAAAAAAAAAAAAAAAAAAAACTCTACTTTATGATTTACTTTAGGCTTAACTATGTATTGGGCCGGCCCTATAAACTGCAATGCAAGAAGGGATGGAAGGCAGAACCCCAAGTCAAAGTCGAGATTGCAAAGCTGAGATAAGTGGTCTCGAATCTTGATCAAATTGAGAGATGTTAGAGAGGGGAGAAAGATCATGCGACTGAGATGACCACATGTGAATATAACCAAAAGTTTGCCACAAGACTAAACTGATAATATACTTTAGAAGGAAGCAGATAATTGCTTTGAGCAGTCATCCACAATAACCAAACCATATCTGTTTCCTCCAACACTTGTTTACTTGTTTTAGTTGGCCCAAACAAATCAACATGCAAGAGTTCAAGAACTCCCCAAGTTAAAACCGCATGTTTAGATTAAAATTGAGTCAACCCCAAAAGATAGGTCTACCTCAACATCAAAAGTAACGTCAAGGGGAACAATTGCAAGGCCATTATAAGTAATGAATTGACCAATGGCCATATGTGTCTAACTCATGTAAATTGCAAAGTCGTTATAAGGAGTGCATTGGCCAATGGCCATGTGTCTAATTCATGCAGAATCTTAAAACACACCCCTCACACTCTCACATCCACTTGATTTTACAGCACAAAATCAATAACATAACCATTTTTCAATGCATCCATTTTACCTAACAAAGCGTAGAACACTAAAATTCGACACAAATTTAATTCAGAACCTGAATTCAAAACGGTTCCAATTCCTCAGGTAATGAACAATTAATTAAAAAAAGATAAAAGCATTAGGCAGAGAGAGTGTGTCTCACCAGAACCTGAACCTCCGGTTCCTGAACTTGCGGGGAATCGGTGTCGCCGTCGAAGGCGAAGGGAACGAACTTGGCGAACCGCGGAGAGGGGACGACAGGGAACCGCAGGGAGGAGAGGGGCGAGGGTGCTCTCCTGGAGGCAGTGGTTTGGCTGAAAGACGCAACGGCGACGCGCGAGGGTTTCGGCGACTTGGCGGCGCGCGGCGGAGGCGGTGGCCGGAAAGTGGGGGTTCTGAGGACAGTGGCCATGGTGAGAGTCGAGAGAGGGATAAGGGGTAAGTGGCGAATGTGCACGACGCTTTAGAGTTGTGAAAATTTTGGTGGGAATGAATGGTCCGTTTGATTTAATCAGACGGTGGTGGTTCACTCGATTTCATTTTTGGAGAAACCCTTTCGATATGAAATGAAGTATCTAGAACAACAACCCTACTTTACTTTTGTTACAATAATTTATAATTTATAATTTATTCTATGTTTATTTATTTATTTATCTATTTATTTATATATATATTAGACTTCAAAAGCATGATACATGTTACATAAGTAAACTGCCACATGATTATTTAACTAATAATTTTGAATTTTATATAAGCAGTTATAATTAAAAATAATCTTACATGACTCGAATAAAATTAACTTATCATGTAGTTTATATTAAGAAAATTTTGAATTTGAGACTAAAATTTTGTATGTTACGTCACTAATTTGATATACTTATGAATGAGATACTAAATTGTCCAAAAATTGTGATGATAAATAATGAAACAAAAAAGAAAAACACTTCTCATTTTATAATAGCTTTTTAGACTTTTAAAGTTGAGTGAAAACTTAAATTGTTAGCATTAACATTTTTTATTGTGTAATTTGATAATTAAATATTAATTTAAACATTTTTTTAAGAATTGATTTCTTTAAATATTTTTCACAAATGCACGGTTAAAATCAACTTAATAAACAATATGTTTAATTTTTGTATGCTATTGTATGAGAAAAAATATATCTCACGAGCAATAATAACTAAAAGTAATGATATTATATATAGTTAAAGTTAAAATAATGCATAATATTTTCAATTGAATAATTTTTGTAAAATAATTTTATAATTAAATTAATAATTAAGAGAATTTTTTTTATAATTAGTTTGAATATATTTTATATAAGATAAGAATTTTTTATAATTAAGATAAATTTTTTTTGGAAGATAATTACGATAATTATGAACATTAGAACATGTTTAATAAAGAACGTTTGTAATGTATCTTATTAATAAGTAATGATATTTATAATAACTTTTATAGGAGTGTAATAACTTAATATATGAAATTGCTTAAAAATAAATCATGATTCTTAAATGAGTAATGTTACTTATAAATTAAAAAATAATATTTTTTATTCTTGATTTTTTAATGAACAATAATAAACATAAATTATTTTCACAAATAAAAAAAAAATTATGTATCATCAACCCATCATCACCATGAATTAAAATCTAGTCATCCATCAAATTTTATATATTTTTCATGATTATGTAGTTTATTTTTTTTAATATTTAATATTTTTTATATGCATTAAATTAACTGTGTAATTTTTTACTAAATTTTTATATGTTAAAATATTATTTATTATGTTTAATTAAATCAATATTTAATTATAATAATTATATTAATTCTTTAAGTTATCAACAAGTATAAATAAAAAAATATATATAATAGTACGGATTGTTTATAAGATTTCACCGTAGAAGCAAAATTTGTGAAAATATTTAATATTTAAAATATTTCTTGTATGTTCACTTTCTGCTCTTATTTATTTTTATAATAATTACTCCATTTGTTATTTTTATGAGAAAAAAAATTGATCTCACATATATTAAAAAAAAAAATATTAGTTGTATTAAGTTTTATGTATTTCAAAATATTTTTACTAAATTATTTTTGTTATCAATTTCCAAAATAATGGTGCAAATGTATAACTAACCAAAGTTTCAAGCATTAAATGAAAGATGTCAGATGAAATAAAAATAGTTGAAATTTGTTTATATTTAAAATAAAAAATGTAGCCTTTATTACTTATAAAAGAAAATAGAGCAAGTACATTTCTAATTCATTCTTTCATAAATTATAACTCACAATTAGAAATAATGGTAGGTTATTTTAGTAAAATTATATAAAAAGATATATTTAGTGCAGTTCTTAATTTCTATGTGAAAACTTTAAATTGTAATAATTGAGAAAAAAAATATTGTAAGCAAAATTAATTGTCAAATAGCACTAAATGTTATATTTATAAAATATAAAATACATTTAATATATTGAAAAATTATTATATTTATGAAGTGTAATAATATACTATACATATGATGAAGGAAAAAGTAAATAAGATAATAGTGTAAAAGTTTTTTCTCTAATTTCACTAGAATTTTTTAGTATGAGTTATGGATATATAACATTGTTAAATATTTGAAATAAGTGTTTTATTGTTGGTCATATATAACTTGAAAAAGTTTCTCTATGATACATGTGATTATTATTATTATTATTATTAATTTAAAGTTTCTTTTACATTCCCCTGATTACAAGTCACCGATAGTAAAATTGTTTATTATAATAATGATTATTTTGAAAGTTACAGTAAAAAAATGTTTTCTAATCATTCATACCTTAAATTTTTTTACTTATAATACATATTTATTACTCTTCGATCCCAAAATAAATGTAAGTTTAATATTTCAAATAAAAAATCTAAAATGTTGACATTGTGACACCTTTACTACCCCAACACATATATAAATATTAATCATGTAAATAAACTTAAAGAAAAAAATCTTCAACGTTGGTAAAAGAGTTCACATAAAACTTCATAACTGTTCTTTCTTCAATATCCAAAATAACTAGAAATAAAACTTAGAAAGTAAAATTTAAGAGTTTACAAATCGTTTTTAAAAGACAAGATATAACTCAAAATATATATAAAAATCTATATACTAGAATTTTCTACCCCGATGTCACAATATCAGAGCACACCCACAATTCAACTGTTGGCATCCTAGATGCCACTCAAAGCCGGATCTTCCTCACCTAAAAATATCCGCAAATCGTACGGTAAGAAAAGAAAACATCTATATATATATAGCACATAAGAAAACACAACATATTATCTCGTTGTAACTTAATATTCATAAATATTTTAGCATAACGTATATCAATCAACCATGCATCGTCATCACATCATAATTCTCAATCACACCAATCATCACAAATCTTGCACTTCACACTATGCCAAGGTCACGCTACC